CTTCTCTACAGCTACTTTTACCTTTTCTTTAATTAATGCTTTAAGAAATTATTTTTATTTTTTTATAATAATCAACTTTAAACCAAATTACTCTGATGTCACTATGTTATTTTTATTAGGTTAGTTTTACCACTTGATTGTAAATTCAATGATATATTCACATGAGTTCATTTTGTATACAATTATAAATTAAATTACAACAAATTTGATCTTTTTAGAACAGAACAAGTTTTGACAGTTAAGTTCTTTATTAGTGGCAAAAGATAAAATAATCTGTCTGAAAAGTTTAGTAAGAACTACTGTGAATAGCAAAGATAATATGTTTACAATGTGGTATATTCACCTTTTAGATCTATGCGCTTCTTATCAATATGTAACAGTACTCACATGGAAACTTACTATACTGAAAAGTCTAACATGAACAGACAAATAAAAAAGAAAAAAAAATGGATCTACAGAAGCCAAAATTTACTTTAGAAATAAAAAAAAATGGAGAAAAATCCATCACATACAAACTACTGTTAGAAAACGACCTGCTATTGTAGTATACTCTGGATATTATAACAATATATTCAAAACATTTATAGTTAAACTACATATTACTTAAAGAATGTTAAAAACTGCTGAAAACATAATTGAATAAAAAATCATATCTGCTGCTCTTCTATTTACTGTCAAAGGTGAAAACACAGAAAATTATAAAAGATGTGTTAAATGTATTATTTTTAAAAACTTAGTTTATTTTTTAAATATATATATACCTAATTAGGGAAAAGGGAAACCGAAAAAGTCTTTTTTTTCTTCTACAAAAACTGTATAGGTTTTAAGAGTTGTAAAAACAATATCCATATTAAATAGTATATTCATAAAATCCAAAATAATTCAAAATTGGAAAAAAGAAATATGCAACCATTTTTTTTCCTCTATAAAGATGAGTTTATGTTCAGCAGTAACAGAAAACAAGTTACTGTTCTGGTAGACATCATAAATTAGACAGTCTCTTTGTTAATGTACTAGTTAAGGGTGTCAATTGTTTTAGAGCTTTTAAAAGCTATATCACTATCTATAGCTAATCAACTATAGAAAAGATTTTGAATCTAAAATGATAAAACCTGAAATATTTACTATACCATATCGCACCCTCAGTGCAAGACTGCAGTAACTCAAAATTTTATGAAAATGAAGTAATCATGGAATTCGATTGTAAACATGCATATCTATCCCCTGTAAAACTTTAGTAACTTTCAAATGCTTAACCGGCTAAATATTACAACAACAACAGTTTAAATATTTTACGTTTCTGTACATAAGTTCCGTACAAAACTGTTGTAACTCTAACGTAACAAGAGTTACAACAGTTTTGCACGGAACATTGCAATGGTTTTAATAACATGGTTTTAATCCGTTAACAACCGAGACACTAAACAAATATTTACGATTTATCAATGTATTTATGAAAGTTTTATATCCTTTGTGTGACCTTATATTTTCCATAAAATGTGTGCTATTTCATTTGACCATTTATTTATTAGATTGGATTAAAAACACACGAATTAAGACTAATTATTTACAGCCAAAAAGTATTTTTTCTTATAAAAGGAAAATAGTTATCTTAAAACTTCTGTATTAACAATACTGACAGGTTAAAAATATCTATTCTCAGAAAACTTATTCTATAAAAACTAAATCCCAATTTGTATTGAATCTTCATGTAACCTTCCGGGGCGATTGTCTTATGATATTATCCCCCCGTAACTTTTATAAGGTAGTGAATTTCTAACCTTTTATTAATCACTGTACTCAAGGTAGCCTGATTTGCATATTTTTATTAGTCCTTTTGCTTTAAATTTAAAGAAAAATATTGAAAGTTTTACAAATAATTTTTCTACCCTATTATGACCCTGTCATTACAAAGCCAAGGAATTGTGGCTATCAGAAACATGTGCAGACATAGAAAGGTACCTATTTATTCTAGTTAGCTATCTGATTTCTTGGAATATATTAAATGTAAAGTTTAATACCATACTAAACCCCGATGGCTGTTGGGGATTATTTTTTCTTTACTTACTCGATGATTTATTGCCATTCGATGATATACCAGAAGCCCACCATAGTTTTCATAAAAATATTTTGGCCCAAGATGATATACGAGAAAAGGACAATAACTAATAGAAAATGTATCTACACTTTTTACAATTCTCTCTGTGCAAAAGTGTTGTAACTTTGAAATTCCTATTTTTTTAGCATTAATATTATTTTATTTAAATTTCTATTTTTGGTCAATGTAACATAGGCTAAAAAGCATGCAAAATCATAATTAAATGTTAATTTTTCTTAAAACTTGTCTCTTATTTCACCGATATTAGCACGACAAAAAACAAAATCGTCTTTATCTCGAAATTTACTTATTCTGACTTACTGCAGTCTTGCACTGAGGGTGCGATATAGTAAAATGCTACTGATATGCTCCGCTTGTTTTTTTCTAATATAGGAAACCAACTTTCAGAATGTATTATGATAGTAAAAACTCTAGCAAGTGGTACACTTTAGCAGTGGTACCTGCTAAATTCGAACTTCTCTAATTCGAAATCTTCTTTAAATCGAATTTTTATTTTGGTCCTATATAAGTAATGGTAAAAAGTCTTGAATAATTTGAATTAAATTTTGGATTATTCGAACTTCTCTATAAGCACTAATTTCATGCTGGAAATTTCCATGAAAAGATGTAGTCCTGTCCTCACTTGCCACTTGTTTCAAGACATTCAAGACCATTGTGCATTGTACTGGCCATAAATTTTCCCCACACTTCAGTAAACTTCAAACATACAAAACTTTGATGTTATCGGAAAAATAGAGGCAATTAAAGAAGTAGAAAATGGGACGAAAAAAAAATCTGAATCTGCCAAGGAATTTGGAATTCCTCCTAACACATGATAATTCATATCTACTTCTTCAAGTAGGGGAATAAACGTAGTTGAAGAATGAAAAAAATCTCAAGAGTGAAAGTGAGTGCGGTAAAGAACGAAAATGGTTAAGGGAGCCAGAAAATCCAAATGCATTTTAAAATGGTTCGAACAGTGGAGCCATTAATCAGCAAGAAGTCAATAAATGGAAACAAATTGGAGAAGATGATTCAGGATATAGATAAAAGAGAAATCTTCAATGTTGACGAGACGGGTCTTTTTTTTAAATGCACTCCTGCCAAAACACTGGCATTTAAAAATGAAAAAGTCACAGAGGAAACTAAGCAAAGAAAGAGTCACTCTCCTAATTGGTGCAAAAATGGACGCATTAGAAGTGCTGCCTCTGCTGATTATTGGTAAGTCGGCTAATCCACGTTGTTTTAAGAATGTCAAGTCAAAACCAGTGGAATATGTGAGCAGCACTAGAGCTTAAATGGCTAGGGATCTTTTCGAGAAGAGAGAAATGGCTGGGGAAATTAGACAAAATATTCATAAAAGAAAAAGGAAAAGTTAGTTTGTTTATTGACAACTTTATGGCCTACAACACTATCCCATTAATGGAAAATGTAAAAATAAATGGAAAAAAAATTTTTCCTGCCAACACGACTTCAGTTCTCTAGTCTATGGACAAGTGCATCACAAAAAATCTTAAAAAATTTAACAGACGTTTTTTGGTTGAAAACATATTGACGGAAGATTGGCCAAAAATACCAATGAGAACACTTGTCATAATAACAATATTTGATCATTTTTATAGCTTGCAAATGTCTTAATTGGTATTCTTGGCCGAATTTTGTTTGCCCATTTTTTTCAGTTGACAAAATTCGTGCAAGAATAGGAACGAAAACATCTGCAAAAGTGTGCAAAAGATTTTTATCGTTTGTAGAAGCTTTTGTAGGTATCACTGTTTTTTGTAGATATATTTTTAATACGAATATTTGGATAATTTAAATTTTTTTAATGGTCCCCTGAGATTCGAATTATCCAGGATTTACTGTATAGGATATTGTAATATAGGGTAAGATATATGAAAAGAATAACGAATTTTCACAAAAGCACTCTTTAAAATAATAAGATGTCCATATGCATTACAAAAAAGAGTTAAGAAAAAAATAAAAACTGTTCCCATGAAGTGTACAATATTTTTAAGCCCATTTAGAACTTTTAATACAAAGACAAACACTTTTCAACTTAAGTAAGTACTAAAAATATTTATCAGAAATAATATTTTTGTTGACAAACTTCTTTGTCTCTGTAAGTAGTTTTAAGTAAGTATATTGTTATTCCAACAATGGAAAAAATTATTAACCAAAAATTAACAGAAAAACAGATTAACTTAAATCATAAAAATAAAAAAACAAATAATTTAGCTAGTATGTAAGTTGTTTCAATATAGGTATATCTTATACTCATCAATGCTGCAATGAGAAATACATCATAATGTAAAAATATAAAAATACATCATAATGTTAAATATATATTCAAGGATTTGTATGATTAAGGGAAGGCCAAGGCAAAGAACATTAATTACCAGTAACTCTTCCAAGGTAAACATCATTGCCACTATTAAAGGATTTGAAATATAGAATTATCCATTAACTTATATCTATTAACTTTCTACCCTCATTGTAATTGATTCTGATTATTAGAATTAAATAAAATTGGCAACTGTGTGCAGTAATCCTTTTTGTAAATAATTGTGTTGATCATCAAATTACTTTTAGCTACTGACAGACAATTATCTATTAACAGAAAAGAACAATCAAAAAATTAATTTGAGAAATAATAATTACTAGGTATGATGTTAAAGGCAATGCAAATACTTGTTACAATTCACTTATTCAAACTGGGGAAAATAAACAACACTAAACATTCCAATTAGCAAAGGCAATAAAATACATAGTCTTTATTATTGTAGAAGTTATTATAAGTTATTTATTTATAGAATTTATTCTAAAATGTATTAGTCTACTTGCATAAAACATTTTCATTGTTTAAATAGCCATAGTTACATTAAACATGAAATCAAGCACTTACTTGGGATTCAAATTGGGTCACTGCTTCTCTCAAAGCTTCTTCTGGTGATAATCCCAAATCTTCAATATTTTCACGAACAGCATCGTCAAAAGTTTCTTGAGATATAACTAACACCATATTTGGTTCTTTGTGCCCACTTTTTGTATTACTACTAATCAGTTGCTAATTTATGTTCAAATTAATATCGAGTTGGGGAAAATTGAATGGTACCAGTTTATATCGATGTTTACTTCTTAAACAAACAATAGCTGTTACCTCTTTCTCAGAAGATTTCCTTCTTAAGACCAACTCAACATGAACTGAACAAGAACAAGTTAGCAAAATGACAATCCGCAACAAGACGAGACGAGAAAACAAAATTGCCAAATATTCATATTTTCGGTGACAGTAATGACAGTTAAGCTGACATACTTGACACATGACTTATGAAAAAATCCATGTTGCCATTTTTATCGAAATAAACCATCGAGTGAGAATCTAGATTTCAGATTCATCTCGACGAAAGGGAAGTAGGTACGATGCCATAAAAAGTACCTACAGAAAAAGACGAGGAAACCACCCAGAGAAGTCCAGGATGCCGAGAGGAGAACAATTCAGAAGAAGATGGTGCAAAAGCGGGACATCAGGAAGAAAGAAGGCTAAAATTTTTAAGTGTGACATGTAAATATTATTAGGGCAATATACGTTTTTATTTTTATTTATATCTCGACGAAATAAACCTACAGGCTCTTAGTTATTAAATTAGCTTTACATCTAGGCCATAGGCCATGCAAGTCTATAATGTTGTACAAGTCCTTGCATGGCATATCCCTTCTCTAGATGATATAGGTATTTACATCACAGCTATTTTTGTGTAATTTTGAGATACCACTTCACTGTGGTTTTCACTTATGTGGTTGTGCCATTATTTTTTTCTGTTTACTGTCCATTCATACACTGTACGTTACATTTTATTCTAATGTCTTCCTCTTTCGATCTCCCAGCGTATTTCCTGTAATTCTTCTCAGTGCTCACATGTCTGCTGTTTCCAGTAACCTTTGTGTTGTGAGTCGAATCTGAACGTTAGAACCTTTTTTAAGCTTGCGCTTCTTCAAGTAGTGGCTACTCCCTTTTTTCAGGAGCTTTTGAGGGGGTGGGCAACATTTATTGCGAGTCCATTATTTTGGAGTGGTATGCGGCTAAAGAGCGGGAGCTTAGATGGTGGTGATATAGAAAAAAAGCGCTATACGGGAGAATTTAGATTAGCCAACATGAGCAGAAGATATCTCCGGTGTTAACGCCATACTGGTAACGGCTCTGAATTAGCGGTTTTGGCGTGCAGTTAATTTATCTGCGATATTTGAGGGGAGTTGCTTTGAGGATATCGTAGTATTCATTAGGAAGTTCGTTACCAGCAGAGTGTAGCAGCTTGGCTGGAGGGAATAGAACTTTGGTTAGGGGGAGCCTGATGAGTATGTGGCCTCGATGGTGACAGGGAGTTCTTAAAGTTTGCTTAACTCTGTTATTGAAGCCAGCTATTGTGTGGAAGATGTATCTTTTGCTGAGAGATCGGACTCTGCCCTTTATTGATGATATGTTTGCAATTTGGTGAATTAATGCTGACGGATAATCTGCATGTTTCCTTATGCATTTTCTGAGAATTTTCCTCTCAGTTGCCATAATGGCGATGGTTTGACGAGGATTTAGGGACGCGTAGACACACGCCGCATTATATTAGATGATAAACTTGATGGAAGTCTTGCTGATATACAAGAGAATTTTATTGGAGGTGTTTCCGAGTTTTCCAGACAGCGTTCCCATTAGTCTAGCTCTGTTTCTTGACCTGTTTAAGGTGTCTTTGATGTCAATGTCACAGTTGGGAGTCCTACTAAAATGAACTCCCAAGTATGATTACACCGAGTTTCTGTAATCAAGAGCTTCTCCTTAGAAGACTATCTGGTTCTTCCCAGCATCACGGCTGTGAGCGGAATTTCGCTATGTACCTGCAGAGAGGAGTGCAGTATCGTCAGCATTTGTGCTATGGCTGTGTCGGGTATTTTATATCTGATTGGTTCTTTACTGATTACTGTTGTTTTCATTTTTTGAGTTGAGATTCTTATTTTAAATTATTTTACTCTTATGTTAAATCTGTTTGACTAGTCTTTGCAAACCATCTTCACCTTAATCTTTCTTCAATATTGCGTTGTCTGCGTAACAGATTTTTTTTACTTTTTTGTTTCTCATTCTGTATCCTCTTCCTTTTGTTGACACTTTTGATGATTTCATGATTGATTAAATTGAAGAGCATAGACTCAATGAGGCTTATTCCGCTGCCTATGTCTATAGGTTGTGTAAGTTGTCCTACTATTCTGACTTCCATTTTGTTGTTTTGGTAGATGTTTTCAATAGTTTTTATTATATCTGGGGAAACTTCTCTATTATATAAAAGATGGATTACATCTTTGAATTTTACTTTATCAAATGCTTTCTTTACGTCAATGAGACACAGAAATACTGATCCATTATACATAATTTCGTGATTTCTCAGTATTTTGCTTTATGACGAATATTGCACCTGTACACAATCTTCCAGCAAGAAATCCCTGTTGTTCATCCGCTAAATTTATCCTCCGATTAATTAATTCTTATAAAATTTTGGTTGTAAGTTTTAGGGTAGTATTTAAAAAAAAGTATACCTCTGTAGTTTTCTGGCTATTTTTATCTCCTTTTTTCAATAGTAGAATTAGAACGCTCGTTCTCCATTCTTCCGGTATTTTATTGTGTTTTAAAATTTTATTAATTAATTTTGTTAATTGTTCCGTCATTGCTGCTCCAAAATATTTTAGTAATTCGTTTAGTATCCCGTCTTTACCTGCTGCTTTTCTGTTCTTCAGCTTTTCAAGTATTTTATAAACTTCGTGTACATTTATATTAAGTTTTACATGGGTGGTAATTTCTAGTGTTTCCGGTTCTAGCATCGTTTGTTCTTCCTCTACATCGAGCTTTTTTAGGTAGTCAATCCGCGTATCATTTTCTATGTGTTTTGGTTCTATTAGTTCCTGTACCTCCGTTCTTTGACAACTCATAAATCGCCATATTTCCTTTTGCAGACTGTCAAAATCATGTTTCATTTTTTTCGAAAAGCGTTTCCAGTGATTATTTTTTATTTTTCTTACACGTGCATGTGCTTCATTTCTAATTTTAATTATTGTATGCCCTGTGTGGTTTGGTTGATATGTATTTTAGGTAAGCTTCTTTACATTTTTTCTTCACTTCTGTACAAAACCACGGAGTTCTTCGCCTTGGGAACGATTTATTTTTCTTTCACGAAGAACTTCCTTGACCGAGGCTAAGATGTTTGACTTAATTTTTGCCTAGTTTTCATCGACTCAATCACTTTCTGTGATATATTTGTTTCTGCTTTTTTTCGGTTATTCTTTTTGTATAGTATAAGTATCTTATATATATATATATATATATATATATATATATATATATATATATATATATATATATATATATATATATATATAATATATATATAATATAATATATACCTATAATAAGTATCTTGTGGAGTCATCCTGTAAGCTTTCGACTATTATCTTTGTGGTGTATTCTGCTGTTTTGTTATCACATATATGTGTTTTCATTCGGATTTTGCACAATACCAATTTATGATCGCTTCCTATTTCTGCTAATGCTAGTGCTCTTATATCCAAGATTTAAGAGGGCTGTAACTCTCTATTCGACAAAATATAGTTTATCATAGATCTTTGTCTTCTACTGTTTTCAAAAATGTATTTGTATTGTTTTTTTTTTGTGAGAGAAAAATGTATTAATACGTCTCTTCGTATTGTTATTGTTATTAATATGTATTGTTTTTTTTTGCAAGGAAAAAATGTATTATTAATAGGTACGTATTTTTGTGCTGCAGAGATCCGTCATGAATATTTCATGAATAATATTGTTACCAATACAATACTTGCCGCAATTGATCTTACGTATTCGGTAGTAAAGAAATCAAAAGGCAATCAACAGGACTCGAAGTCTATTTCTGATAAAAATTTAATTCCTTTGAGTGTCAAAATAACAGAGTTGATCTATTTAATAGCGGAATTAATCAATATATCAATCAATTATGTCGAAATATGTTTGCACATAAAAATAAAGTCACAACAGATGAATCCATAGCTGAATCAACTAATTTTAAATACTTTTGATGCTCTGATTTCAAAAACTCTTCTGTTTCTCATAGTAGAGTTTTTTGGAATCAGGACACTGACAAGGCACCAGACAGACTTATAATAAATATGATAGACAGGACTAAAAAGATGGACAGAACATTTTAAGGAAAAGCTTTATGGGGCGAACCCTAATATATCATTAAACCAAGCAGACATAGAAAAGGGACACTATTTGTTTAGCTTCAAGTCCTAACTGTTCGCGAGAACTTTAAATTTACACTCTACCTGCTAATAGTACCCTCTTATATTTTTATTGACTTCAAATAATATTTAAAAAAAGCATTATAGAGTTCAAACACAAAGGCACTTGTATACTCCCTGGCTAATTGGTTTTTACCCATAGATAAATAATATAATAGTAGAAGGTCTTTACCAAAGCCATCTAATTACAAAGAAAACCTATATACTCCTAACACACAATGTACTTGAGAAACTCAGCACACACTAAAGGTCGATTCACACACATCAGTCACGTCACAGTCACGGTACCGAACCGGTCCTGTTTGATCACAGAACTATCAACTATCTGACAGCTGGCAAACTGTTCGTCAACTGATGAGTGTGAATGCCGGCGCCATATTTGTATTAAAGAATATTTTGTATGACGGATTGTTCGATTCGGCGCAATCACTGTGACGAGATGGTGACGAGACGTGACTGATGTGTCTGAATCGACCTTAACTCTCAGAAAACTAAATATATACTGATATAGACTGATATCTACGTATTCTTTCTCTGCTATTGACACGCTTCTTGGTAAAAGTCACAGCGACAGCTAAAAAACGATACGATATACCTAACTGATCACGCACATGACTCATTTCATGTTTTATTTGCTGGACTATAATAACCTACCACTACCATCGATGCGCGCTGGAGATGAAATATAAGCAAAAAAATAAAACGCCGAGGACAACTGACAACGAACGGAGTTTTATCCGTAGTATTTATCTCGTAAGAGCTCCTACCCCGGGTCTCTGAGTATTGATCAGAGGCCAACGTTCTTTCCGTTCCCGGCCTGCGATTAATCACTTCCATTCCCCGTCTGTCTAGAGTATTGATCCACCGGCTCCCGTCTCTAACCTTGACTGAGAATTGATCAGTCATCCCGCCAGGGTTTTTGGGTAATGACTAATGACAGAAGATCGATTTTTG